GAGAAAGCAAAAAAGAATTCGTAGGATATAGATATAACTTGCGGCGGCAGAGTAGTCAAATCGTACGCCAGACCTCTTTTGCCCCTCTGCAAAAGCAACGGTCACCAGTTTGTTCAGTGGCGCCCCTGATAAAGACAAACTTTACAGACGTCGCGGCATCCACGTTTTTCAGAGGAGGATGTTGCCAAAAGACCACAAACGAATGGTTTTCTTACAAAGGCAAAAAAAAGTTGTGAAGAAACATGGGCGATCAACTGCGGCCGAGAGCCGGAATTACGCGGGAAGCTTTGGGATTGGTAGTAAACATGGTCAATAGGTCGGTCAATCCACTGCACTCTCAAAACCAAAATGCGTCGGTTTGTAGTCTAGAGAGGGGAAAGGGAAACACAAGAACTTTGGACGCAAAAAAAAAGAGATGGTGTTGCGGCTACATTCCGGTTGGGTGGTTCGCGTCCTTCCCTTCGCCAGACGAGGGACTTCATTGCAGAATTTATTTGCGGCAGTGTGGGTGGTTACCCGCTGGCACGGAAGTGTTGCATTGCCGGAAAACATTCCTCAGAATGGTCGCCACTGCGATGGGTCTTAGGTACCTGACGGAGGTGTTCTCGGGAATTTGGATACTGGGCGGTGGATCAAGAAAACCATCTCCCATTGGTCGGTAGCAAAGTTCTTTTTTTGGTGAGGGTCTGGATACCCACCCCCAATGCTAAATATGCGACGGTCCAACCTGGGACACATGTCCTGAGCTGCCCGAAGATTTTGCTCGTCTTGATAGCATTCGGCTTCTCAAAGTGGGGTTGCTTTGCTTTGCACCCATGAGGAAAAAAAATGAATACTTTATTAAAGTATTTTTTACAAAACACGGGGTGGTGGGAACCGGTAGCTGCCGTTTGTTTGATCAATGCTCCATGCTAGTACGGGCTGAAGTTTAGACCAACTGTCATATCACCAATGGTTCGTGCTCATACGGGCGGGCGAAAAAAAGTTGGGGAGTTTCATCGACCAAGTGAATCGAACAAACTGCGTTTGCCGGGACACGCATCGTGTCTCCAAAGCTTTGGATTGAAGCCCAACGTGCGGGTCCAGGATACCACCGCTCTCGTCTGGGGAGGGGGCTACGCATACATTTGGGGCACGATATGGCGATACCGGGCGGACTGGATCAAGTATACCTGTAAAGTATACGGTTCTCTTCCATGTTCCGGGACGAAAGAATTTTTTTGGTTTTTCCCCTGGCTGTGGATACCCTCGCCCACTTTCCCCATCCCAAAGAGGCGCCCGGAATATGGGGTTTGGACACATCGTTACCAACGCCATCAAACCTTGTAATTTTGTGGTCCAACAAAGCTTGCTTATCGACTGCTGAAACCCCAAATACTTACTTCACAAAAACGAAACCATCTTGAGACAACTGGTTCCAACTTCGAGTGAGGTCCACACGTAACTTATCATAGAGCAGTAATCTCAATGCATTTGGATGTAAATCACAGAAGCGTTCAACACCTTTTCACATCCACCATGTAAAATTTCCCAAAAATTAATTTTGCTTGCTTCAGCCGCGAAAAGAAAGAAAAAGAAGAGAAGAATCTATACAAATTTGTTTGCGAATCCACAAATCAACCCGCGAGGGGCAGGAAAGGGATCGTGTGGAAAAGAGAAAGAAGCAGCAGCAGGGAGGAAACGGGGAAAGTCGAAAACAAAAAACAACAACACACTTTGCTATAAATTCTTGCGCCACTACCCATCTCGTTCTCCGTCCCATCCGGCCAGAATGCGCGACTCGAATCACGCATTGCCGTCACACCCACTCCCTTCCGCCCCTCGTCGCTTTACGTACGCCCCGCGATTGATTTTGATTGCCGATCGCCGTAACAATGCCCTCCACCCGCCTCCAACAGCGCCTGCATGAATCAATCCCGGAAAAGCTCATGAAAATTGCATTCAAGCACCTGGCAGCGCCAACATCCCCTGGCGTATCTGCCCCAAACCCCCCACCCCCGATGGGTAAACTTTTTTCACGTCCCACCACTACATTCTCCATTCGACAATGCTCCCCAATGGCCCCAGAAAAGCACCGAAAGTGGTACTCTCCCGAAATTCCAGACGTAAAATTCGAGACCCGAAAGTAGATCCCGAGCCGCCGAAAGAAAAAGAAAAAGACCGGATCATCATTCGCCCACATCACCGTCGATAAGCGTTCCTCCCGATGAATCCACCTCTACACGCCGCCCCTCGGGGTGAATGATCAATATCCCCGAGACGGACCACCGCCGCTAACTTTCCTTGACGAGCCTGGTGTGCTTGCTCCCGGGATTCCCGCCGTGGCGACTCGCGAACTGCTCCGGGTCATGCCAGCATCGCCGTAGGCTCCTCCCACAGGCTGCATCTGACCCATCTGAGCAGCATACCCACCAGCAACGGGCGCGGAAGTGTTGCCTTGGTAGTAACCTCCCTGCGGGTAACCTGCGTACTGTTGGCCATACCCGCCCTGCTGGCCCGCCCCCCCGTAGGCCGCGGTACCGCTGGTGCCAGGTCTTGTGGAAACTCCAGCTGGAGCTGACGGTCGTCGCGATGACGCAGAGACTTGGGCGGCGACAGCTCGGTTTTGAGGCGCGGCTCGGTTATCTCTGGTGAATGAATGCAATGTCAGCAACAGTTCAATCCCAAGACCGGAAAAATGGACCCCTACCTTTCATTTCGGTACTTTTCCCGATCATCATCGGGTTCCTCTTTGACTTCGTTTCCGGATTTATCCTTTCCCTCTTGCTGAAACCAGACAAAAGAGTAATGAGTACAAAATGCGTCATGATTCAGAATGTGTATGCCCAATGCTCACCTGGTATTTCACGACCGTCCAATCAAACACATAATCATAATGGTATCCTTCCCTCACAAATAGATCGCGGAAGAGTTTGCGGAGATAGCTATAGTCCGGCTTGTCATCGAATCGAAGAGACCGCGTGTAATTCAAGTAAACCGAAAACTCGTTGGGGAACCCTCTGTGATGGTCATGATGGTCATGATGGTCATGATGGTGAGTCTCACGCCAAATTATTGCCAAACATTGTTTGGGCGTTACCTGCAAAGGACCTCGGTTGGGGTCGTCATCTTTTTCTCCATAATCCGATCATACTTTTGTTTCTTTGTGGCGGCCTTCAACCCTTGCCAGGGCAGCGACCCGCGACAGAAGTACATAAGCACATAGCCAAGAGACTCCAGGTCGTCACGGCGGGATTGTTCTGCAATGATTGTCACGCATGAGCCAAAGGTGAAACCCAAATGGAATGACAAATCGTACATACCAACACCAAGATGAGTATTGATACTAGCGTACCGAGCGGTTCCCGTTAGATTCTTGTTTTCCTTGTACGGGATGTGCAGGTGCGTCTTCGGGTCTCTGTACTTCTTCGCAAGTCCAAAATCAATCACGTTGACCTGGTTCCCCCTCTTTCCGAGCCCCATTAGAAAGTTGTCGGGCTTAATATCACGATGGATGAAGTTCTTGGAATGGATGTATTCTATGCGAGAGATCTGAGCAGATCAACTGTCAGTATGGCAGTCGTGGGGCTGGTGACGAGTTTATGGAGACGGACGCAAGGCCCACATACCAACTGATCGGCCAACAAGAGGACAGTCTTCAAAGTAAATTTTCTTCCACAGAAGTTGAAAAGGTCTTCCAAACTGGGCCCGAGAAGATCTACAACCATGCAGTTGTATTCGCATTCCGTCCCAAACCAGCGTACAAAGGGGATTCCGACTGCAAAGATTCATCATGAGTTGACTCTGCTGTCATATGCCGCTTATGGGAAACAGAGGATTGCATTACCTCCTCCTGCTAAACTCTTGTATACTCGCGCCTCATATTCCAACTGCGGGTGTTTCGCCTTTACATTCTCCAGCTTGATGGCAACCTCCTCCCCATTGATAATGTTAGTGCCTAAAGAACGCGACAACGACGTTAAGCCATGGTCACAAGTAACCTCTGCTGAAGATCGAACTGTACCCAAGTAAATGTCGCCGAAACTCCCGCTTCCGATTTTCCGGCCAATGCGAAACTTGTTTCCCACCCTCAAATCCATCAACGGGTGTGGAGGTCCCTGAGATGACGAAGATTGTGCTGGTTGCTGCATGGTGGAAGCGTTGCCGCTGTTGAGCGTGCGGGATTACGTAGGTGTGGGGTAAAGAGTGGGATGCGAGGTGGACGAGTTTCCTCCGAGTGAAGTGCGGTAAAACAGTGACACGCGAGCAGAGGAAGTTTCTTCACGGATTGACCAGTAGAAGAGGACGAGTGGGAAAGGAAGCTTCCTATGAAATGCGCGAGAAGATGATTAGGGTTGGTTTGACCGTGCGAAAATCGCGAACAAAAACCCCCAATTCCGGGCCCACTGGGCCAGGGCTTCCCAGTACCCCGGGCCCTCCACCGAAGAAGTCCAGACTCAAGACCAAGAATTCTCTTCTAGTCCGTCCTTTCAACCAGCGCTGTCCAAAGTTTTGCGCTGCTTACCTTGCTCAAACACGAATACTAAGAACGTCAAAGAATCTAAAAGGAGGAAGGAAAGGGTTCAGTCCCACATTCCAATGCCAAATTACGAGTGTTCCTCATGCGCAAACTTCCGTAACCTACCACACCTATGTGACGCAATATACCAATGGCGTTGAAATTTTGATGTTGGCGAGAGTCTGATGCCTTTTTGGCAGTTTGGGTGGCTGGGAACTGTTTCGGAAATTTGCACGGCAACCGCAACCGCAGATGATGATGATGGTTCAGACACGGAGGACACAAAAAAATACCAGAAGCAGACTTTCAAGAGACCCAGAATGCGCTGCCAATGGCCAAGAAGGGAGCTTGCAAATTGTTGGGATGATTGACCTGCCCGACTGTGCCCTGACAAAATATTGCGTTCCCGTGCCCATGACAAGAAGCTGCCAAGTCACATCTGTGGCGCAGATTACTGTCAACTTTGCTTATAAGGGAGGAGGACGATCGGACTTTCATCAAAGTCGGTGTAGTATAGTGGTAGTACGCCGCGTTGTGGTGATGCCGTTTCGCATTCTACAGTTCCGCGTTGACGCTGGTTCGATTCCAGCCACCGACATGGTGTTTACGAAGAGCTTCTTTTTTCGCACTTTTACCCTGAAGTTATTATACTCGGAGTCGATTCGATTTTCTTTTACCTATACTGCCAAGCAAACATTCACCGTACTGACAATCCCTCCAATGACAACTACAGACATGGTTTCGTTGATGATAAGATCTATTGCGATGGTTGGCTAAAATGGTCTAACACAAATAAGAAAGACAAAGGAAGACACATCAAGCGCCATCAAATAAAAATCCGGGTTCCAAAATCCTCCACCTCCTCACTTGCCCCGCCCAACGGACCGCTTCGACTTTCGATGTAGAAACTTGTGGATTAGTGAGAAGAGTACCTTGTGTAAACTTTGGTGTTCATGAAAAGTAGCTCGAGTATCAAGCCGATTGGAAAGACCCGTCGATTGGACTCGAAGGTTTTGTGAAAACAGCGCCATATTGATACGAACGGGATCCTCCATTTCAGTTGTGGATGAGGTGGTGAAAAGATGCAGATGTGAGAGGTCCACTATTACACAAAACTCACCACGGATGGCCCTCACCCCAGAATGGCACATTTGCCGTTTGGATGGGTTGTCACCGTCGTTTCCCTCCCTCC